TCATCGAGTCGCTTCATTACAAATGGTGCTCATGTTATTAAACTGACATTTGTTTACGTAAGAAAACTAAGGATAAAAAATGACAGTAATTTAATTGTTAGTATCATGAAATTAAACTGACATTTGTTTTACTTTATACAACTAATATCAGGTTTATGTTAGAAAACTAACATTAGATTTATGTTAGAAAATTAACGTTAGATTTACGTTAGAAAACTAACGTTAAATTAACGGTTAAAATTATGACATAAAAGTAACGTTATATTAACGTTAGAAAACTAACGTTATATTAACGTTAGAAAACTAACGTTAGATTTACGTCAGAAAACTAACCATAAACTAACGGTTAGAAACCTGATGTAAAATTTACGTTAGAATAACGTTAGAATTATAACCAATAATACATATATAATTATTATGTCTGAATTCCAACTATTTATCAATTGTTAGAATGTGCACACACTTGTAATGTTATTTAATCAAGAAGTATTTAAAGCGAAAAAAATTGGTTAGTAATCCGTCATAAAGTTTACGTTACATTTACGTCATTTTCTGACGTAAAAGTAACCATAACCATTATGACGTAAAAGTAACGTAAATTTAACCAAAGAATTTTACCATTATTGGACGCTAACCAAAATCTAACCATAATGACGTAAACTTTACGTAAATCTAACCATCAATGTTAAGTGGGTATGTTAATCATTACAGCGAATGTGGATAACTTATTTCATTTACAAAGACATTATTCAAGAGCTAAATATGCCCATTGTCGGGCGTTTAGCTAGCTTCAAATGTTGTATGAATTATTATGTAGACATCTATGTGCATGACAAGCCGACCATTACCAGCTAAAAAAATAAGATATTATCATTGGTAAACCGGGCATAATTTGTTAGAGTAATTACCCCTGATTCTAACATCTTGTGAATCACCTACACGAAGCCCAATTACCCCCCCCCCCCCGCTAATTAAGAAAACCTTAGAAATAAACATGTTATCAAACACACAATGTAAAAAGTTCTATGTTTGAATTTTTCTTTCAATTCGCTGTATACTATGAAACTATTATCTCTCAAGGTGGGGTAAATCTGTTGATTTCAACATGTCGACAATGCAACAGATACACACAGCTCCCAATTCAAGGGATTGTTCCACTCTTGTAGACTGGTCCAACGTGTTAATCATAGAACAGACCGTCTTGGCCACGCCATAGATCTTCTCTCAAGTTATTGTAATTGACCAACAGCTCAGTTATCATTCTGCTAACCACTTTATCGCGCCATGCTATGTGGAATATAGAAAATATCAATGAAGATAAATTTAAGGAGGAGTTGCTAGCTCTAACCAACTCATCCAATTGAACCCTCGAAGAGCTTATAAATAATTATTATTAGCTCCCTGAAAACATTATTGATGTCCATGCTCCCAAGAAGATGCGAAAAATAGTTGAAGAGCCCCGGGGAAGAACGATCTAAGTCACTTTTTCAACGAACCTCAGTTAATGGCGCCATCTGGTAGCAAATTGTAATTGTATAAGCTTTCTGTGGAACAATCGATTTCAGGTAAAAACGATCGGAGTCACATCGAATTAAGGCCCTTCTGAAATGGCCTCCCGGACAAATATGTCCATCGTACCCTTTATTTGACCTTAATTTGGCTTATCCAGACCATAATCATCTCTTGATGCCATCGCTAGCCTGCGATATTTAGCGGATTTGAATACATTTTGTGAAGGATGATTAAGCGTAAAACTGGATAATCGAGACACTACGGGGACAGATGTGACTATCCTTCGTCACGGCACCGAAAAGCTGTACTGTGACACGATCCTGTCCGCGGTCTCCAGAAAACGGCCTTTCACGCTGCATATAAAACGTCAAGGATCAGTTGACTCCGGAAAGCTTTGTTGGTTTATAACTATGTTTATATATGAAATACAGGAAACTACATTTGTGATAGTACATTTTAAGTTATTATAATACAGTCTGAGTTTAACCAGCCTAGAACTCAGACCTAACGGCTGAAACACTACATTGTCTCTATTCCAGATTCGAACTGGCTGAGAGTACTTCCTAAGAACCCTTCATGATGTCAGTATCCTAGGCCCTAAGTCGAGGCAGCTAACGGTATAACTCTCTAGGAAGCCCACATGATGTCTTCCCTTGGGACTCCAAATGATGTCTGTTTCGCAGCCTCTCAGCCGAGAAGGCTGTGGAAACGTCCTTCAGAGAATACTAACTGATGTCTCTCTAAATGATGTCTGAAGGGAAATTTAACGAGGTGGCTAGACGATAGTACCCTCCTTTCAGCAATTTATGGTGGCAGGAAATGTCTGCGATTTAGTCTCAGAAACTTGAATCTTACCAAAAACCTAGCCCATTTCTCACTGAAACCTATTTGTTTATCCAATTCAATATATTAAACAGAGCACCTTTCATACAACTAAAATAATCCCTATAGTATTCCATGTCAACTCTTTATCTAATCGCTCATAATGCCGATTCTTAATTCGCTCTTGATAAAAGAAACTTTATTTACATGGAAGTTTTGTTGATAATTTTTATTTCAATATATAGTATTTAGTTAATATGATTCGCTCTTGATAAAAGAAACGATAAGTAACTTTCTTTACATGGAAGTTTTGTTGATAATTCTGATTTCAATATATAGTACATTGTTTTGAGTTAATATGATTGCATGATTCAAGTGTAGTATTTGGTTAGGGTCATTAATTTTAGAGGTGGTGGATGGCCGAATGGTTAGCACGTGCGCGCCGTATCATAAAGTCTGTCATTCGATTCCCCGGTTGTACGTGACAAGGAGTAGAGTCGCAAGTCCAACATCGTGTGTTTTCTCCAGGTCCTCCGGTTTCCTGCCACTGCTAAAGACCCCTACGGGCAAGCAAATTATTGAAATAAAATTGAACCATGTCTTAGTCCCGAAATGACCTAGTTTTGACGAGTGGATGTTAAACCCATATCACTCTCAATAATTTTAGATAGGCGGTCATGCAAATCGTATAGGCCAAGATGTATTATAGAGGGATAAAGATTACTCTAAATGTTATTTATAATCAGGATATTGTGAAGAAGTTTTTTCCATAACGTTTGTGAGTAAGAGCAGTATATAAATAGATGATTAACGGTTTCAATGCTTGATCGACAAAAGTCGCATGATGTTGCAGACACTTCACCTAATTTGTCTAATTTAGAATTGGCGTATATTATTCTGTGTGTGTACATGTATTTGTATTGAAAAATTCTAGTTTTTGTGTCTATACATATAGTTTGAATATCGATCTTGTTGAAAGTCGTCAATTGTACGCATAGGCATAGGGGACCAATCTCAGTTGGGTGGGTGGGGGGGGGCTGACGTTGTTTATTTTTAATTAATTACACAGCAGTATAAATTTACCATATGTTAAGCAAAAACCAACTCAATGTTCCCCATTCTCTGATGTGCACGAAAAACGGAAAAACATTGCCAGAAAAATGGATTGTTCACCGAATCTGGGGGCCCCTACGCCTCTGATTGTACTCCCAAGTTCGTCTTTCCATTTGTGTATCGAGTTTCGTTTAATGAAATCCGAGTATATTTGTTTATAATATACATCTCTTTGTTTCAAATCTTCATATTATAAAATTGTTTCAAATTGTTTATTACGTTGTGTTGTATAATTGTTTTGTGGTCTTTCTGTTACAGTTATCGATTTCATTATCGTCTAAAAGAGTGTTTCTATTTATTTTATGTTTCTTGTTTTCTATATCTTTGAAATAGATTTCCTATAACCATACAGTATCAGTAGATCATTTGGTGTATATAATGGTATCGGGAAATTTATTATGTCAGCCACAAATTGGGGCTTAGCTTCACAAATCGCATAGGTTCTTCACCGCTTACGCCTTCACGTAGAGTACAGCAAACCATAAAGCCAACAGGGCCCCACACTGGTATAAAACGACAGTTGACATTTAAATGCTTTGGGGTTTTTTTTTCTGAAGTTCAAACCACCACTACTCGCCAGTTTATCATCTGTGATACAAATATTTATTTTCTTACAATAGTTTATATCTAAGTCTCTAACTCAATATCATCCAAAGTCTTTGACATTGAAAATATGAATTATTTGTCAATTTAAATCTACATTGATGTTGTGATCATACCGGGAAAAGATGAGCTTCTGTTATCTAATATTTAAGACAAAATAAACATTTTACCATTGGTACACGAATCGTATACCATAATGCGTTTCAGTGCCATTTGTAACAAGGGACTCGAAGAACGAGGCTAGACGTATTCCACAAGTCGCGTCAAACGTTATTTGGCGCCGTATTCTTACCTGAAAAGCATGCCATGTGTACATCTATTTGTATTGAAAAATTCTAGTTTTTGTGTCTGTACATGTTAAATGTATTAGTGTGAATATTGATCTTGTTGAAAGTCGTCAATTGTACGCATAAGCATAGGGGACCAATCTCAGTTGGGTGGGGGGGGGCTGACGTTGTTTATTTTTAATTAATTACACAGCAGTATAAATTTACCATATGTTAAGCATTAATGTTATGTACATGTTATGTAGTGAATGTACACCCTACATTAATATTTGATGTGTTGATGTGTCAGAGTATCTGTTCATTTAACAGATAAACTGCTGTGTTTGGCTGTAATACATTGATACGTTTAAATCTTCAAACAGTTGTTATTCTCTTTGTAGACTTTAAGCACCGTGTGCTCTCCTGGGCTTAACAATAACTCTAGTAATGCTAATATTTGCCAACAAATTGCATTTCTTTGAGCGTCCGGGTTTACTAACCTTGCCGTGGTTAGATTTTTATCCCGGGTGTATTATTCATGTTATTGTGTTCAACTGTAACGTACAATATACCACACTGGCTTCTACTGAACTAGAATTATCCTAATACATCAACAAGCAAACATTAGAAATTTTTAATACCGCTGTCCAATATTCTTCTTTATAAATTCTATACTTGGAAGCTGTGGTTAATTCAGCATGCAACATCCTTTGAGGAATACCGTCGCGGCGTGTTTCTGGATGTAAACACAGACAGCTAATTGCATCTATGGGTGGCTTGTCAAATAAAACCAGTATGTATTATCTTTTTTCACTCAAATAAAATCATTAGTTTGGTATTCTCAGCCTGTTCTAAACAACGTCCTAGGGCGTACATAATGTTTGCACTATGATTTAAGAAAGTCGTATTAATCCAACAACATGAAATTTCAGTGACGTATTCAGAATGTCCGAAACCGGGGGTGGGGAAAGGCGTTAAAGATGGGTTCCCAGAAAAGTATTTATCGGGTAGTTATTTCCAATAAAAGTATGGCAATGTTGGTATATATGGAAAGTAGAGATATTCAATCTTACTAGAAAAATACTGGATTTCTCGAAAAACACTCATGGAGCGTATACAGGACAAAAATGTAAGGGTTCCCCTAATCAACAGCCCGACGATTAGGAACTTCTGCGAGCGTGATGTCAAAGGTCACAAGCGAACATTGAGCGCTTGATGTACAAGTTGATAAACTTTATGAAGAGTTAGACGTACAATACTTTCTGAGAATTTAATTAGGATTCGATATTTGTAAAAAATAGTAAGCGATCAAAGACAACATCGTCTTGTGTATGCAATGAATTCTCCTCTGACTCCCAAGACGTGACGTAAACATGACCTGGTTTGATCGAATTTTAATAGCAGGGCATTCCTTCGCAATTACAATGTTTGAGAAGGATTTGAAGCATAATTATGACAAATTAATTAGTTTGAATATGTTTTTGGTCCATATATACCATTAAATCACCCATATTGTACGCGGGAACCCATCTTTAACAGGTGCATTCCGACAAAAGCATTTAAAGGGTCGTTATTTCCAATAAAAGTATGCCATGATGGTATAAATGGAAAGAAAAGACGCCCAATCTAGTAAAATACTGGATTCCCTGATAAACACCAATTAAATGGGCTGCGCACAAGTAAAAATGTCAGGGTATCTCACTACACGAGCGACGTAGGACAGACTTGGTTGTGTTTTTAAGTACATGTAGATTAGAACGCTTCAGTCATTTAATGGTTTAATTTGAAAAGCGGGGCTGAGCCTCGAATAATCTGTACCGTGGTTAAGATAATGCCACATATTGTTAAAACTCCAAAAAGTGTTAACTTCGCTCAGAAAAAATTCATTTGAATGAAATTTTCAATATATTCATTTTGCATTTTCTATTTTTGTACTATTATAGCAAGAACGACCAACTCCGTATGTAAATGCGTCTTGAAGAAAACAGAACGCCCAATCGCGCCAGGCTATGGTATTTTTATAACCAAGCCAGCATTAAACACCTGGAACTGTTGGCCAATACAACGCATTGAAATAGCTAGTAAGGCAAAAAAAACTCAGACAACTGCCATCCTATCACATTCATTAAGCAGCATTAAGATCGACAGAAGCCATTAGCCTTGTTTGGTGCAGAACAGTAGGACGGTAAACCCCATTTCATTTCATTTTCTTATCACACCTGCCAAATAATAATAACGCCATAACCCAGTGGCGCGTAAACATGTCACCTAAGCTGAAAAACGCCAACCGCCAGGCATCTACAAAATTATCGTAATGTTCATTTCCAAATGGAAATTTTGTACACCTTGATGGATATAATAATATTATGATTGTTTTAGCCAAAAGATAAACCTATTAGCAAACTATCTTTGTTTATCAACTTGTTTCCAACATTCGTCCACTTAGGGCACTCCGTTGCAGAGATTATTTTGGGATCACGGTGGCTAAGTGGATAAGACGCTGGCTCGCTAGCTTGGAGGTTCATCCAGATATTCCGGCGTGGTTATCCCTTGTCAGTGATGCACGACGGAAAGCCTGATAAGGACAGAAATCTAGTCGTTCGGATGGGACGAAAAACCGAGGTCCCGTGTTCACATTGGCGTGCACGTAAAAGATCCCTTGACAGTTGGAATTCGATATAAGAGTAGACCGTAGTGCCGCTGTTCAGGCAAATTTTTCTCATAGCAGACTGTATGGCGTATGCCCGTCTTTATTAGCCCAGTTTGGAGCAAAACATTAAGACGTTAAACCCCCATTTCATTTCATTGCAGAAATTATTTATTGAGCCATTTGAAGAATCCCACCTGGATTAAAACTAGTATCTATTTCACCTAATTTGCGCGCAGCAAAAAAAATCGAGATGGCCAACGCCCTTCAAGAAAATGTTGACCTTATCTATCAAGATCACAGAGTGTGAAGTCGTCCAGGAAAGATATTTTAAGTGTGGGCAGTTGCTGCAACAGAAATGCCGACACGGGTTATGGTCGGTCTAGACGTATATTATCACCCAAAAAATTCCCAGACCGAAATCCGTGTCCAATGGGTCAGATTGGCCAAAATCCAAAATGGACGCCTGTTTTGGTTTGTAATTTCCAATTTCCACGCAATTATCATAATATGATCGAGTATGGTATCCAAATATATACGTTTTCGGGCTAGTTGAATCCATTTCCGTACAAATTGATATCGCTGAGTAAATATTTGAGGTCATTCAAGATAGCGGCCAGTTTGGGCGCGAAAATTCGAATTTTACATACGGATCAAGTTTTGGTGTCAAAATACGTTTTCGAGGTAGCCTCAACCCATTTTCTTAAATAGTTTGGGGATTAAATGATTTCCCCGCGTTATTATAGGATGGATTCTAATTAGAGATCTAGGTTTCCGATTGGCGACTAGTAAGACTCCTACCTTAGACTTAATGACATGTATTCAGTTTCAACTAAATCTCATTTGGACTCTCCGGCCTACAACTGGGACCGGCCCCAACTCGCAGCGTATCGTGCATGTCGACTAGGGCCATTCTCAGCTCATTGCGGAAGCTGGTTACGCTTATTGAAACGTGGTGAATTTATTTCACAAAATGATGAGAATGAATACAGTTTCGCCCATTTGTCAGGTATGTAGTGAACCTTTAGATAATGAACTGCCCACAGAAATCCTGGCAATAGAGGGTATTGTCGGTTTTAATAAGGCGGCTAAGCTGAGAAATTATGGTCGTGATTTCAAGCTCGGTGAAAAATTCCATGTGAAATGTCTCAAATTTTACTATCATGCAACTAATATTGCAAAATGTTGTAAAGCTGTTGAAGTGGAGGAGTCTGCTTCGAGGTCTATACGATCCGTGATGCCAACATTAGTATGTGACCGTTGTAACAAATGTAAACAGTAGAACTCGCAACAACTATTTTGTCGACATGCCAAAATAGGACATAAATGACGATTGGACATTAATCTAGTGAGACTTGAAGTAAATTAGAAGCAGTGCTACTGTGCCCCATAAAGTGTAACAAACATACGATACAGATGTGTGTGGACAGACAGGCGGTGGTGGGGCGCAAAAAGAGAATTACAAAGGCGCGCCAATGCAAGTAAGAACTGGAAAAAAATGCGCGGGCTCAATTTGATGTAACAGCCATTACCGCCTCCTATTCTTCCCTATCAGACCATGTAGAAAAACAATGGTCCACAAAAACGAAATTAGGCAACACGGACCTTCCATGGCTTTTCAACCTACTTCAATATTTGTTCGATGGCAGTAATTTCGTCCCTCATCACCAGGCTGTAAAATACAACCATCATTTCTCATCATAGCATTGTCTCACCATTTGGATTATTTTGTGAAATAAATTCGTCGTGTGCTTCAATAGGTTTGGCCATAGGCTGGTCTCGAATCTCTAATGGGATTTCTTCCGATATTAGTCCAGGGGAACCAATTAAACATGCATTATGCGAGAGCTAAATCTGCTTATTTACATGACAAAATCAAACTCAACTCTGTTTCATACAGACTTGGATACAGCTTGGATTTAAAGAGTCGTCCATTTAAGATTAAATCAATAAATGGCCGACCAAGCTAACGTTTACCTTTAGTCACTGTCTCACTGACGTCAATACATACCGGAGACCTCCGATGAAATGCCTCCCGAGCGAGGTCATTATCTATTTTTTAACTATTTTAGCGAGAACTGTCAGTTCGTTATCTACTCTTACCTAATGAAAATGGAATCAGCTACATCTAAAACGTATACTCTGACACCAATTAATGATAATGATAAATATTGGCATTTTCCAACCAATTTGGTCGCGGGTATCGAACTAAGGCTTTTTTGGTAATAATATACATCTAGATCGACCATAAACCGTGGTCGGCATTTCTATTGCAGCAACTTCCAGGGGTGGATGAGGCGGAGTTGAGTTAAAATGCCTGGACTAGAACAGTTGTCTGAGGAACAAGCATGCCAAGTTCCACAGGGGAACCATGTGCTTTTTGGAAGAGCTTAGCCCCCAAGAACGATGGATAGCGCTCGGCGACCATTTCTTGGTCCAAAAATGTTATAGCCCAATGGATTTAACATTGAGGGCAATGGGGGTTGGGGATTACTAATCTTAATCCATCTCGGTTCTGAACTGTTAGATCGTGTTGTAGAGTTATCTGCCCATCTCATGAAATCCCACGACATGGGATATAGTCTGGAGGCTCAGTGCGGGGCGGGGGTCCAACCATGAGACTATTCAATTATGTATAGCAATCGTTGTGAAATTAATCGGAGAGTCTTCGATTTGACAGTTTTTACGTATTTTTGAAACAAGTTTCGAAGTGTTTTGGTTCTGTTATGCAATATCTGTTTCGACATTCCAAAGTAAACGTACGGTGCTAAGACCCCTAAAGATGAATTTTAAATGTCCCTATTATTAATGACAACAGTTTTCTCTTTAGTTTTTATACGCCTACATTAAAATGTGGTCGTATATTGTCGTCCGGCCGTCCGGCGTCCACAATTGCTGACGCTCTAGGGGCTAAAGGTAATATCCGATTGACTCTAAATTTATACACAGTGTTTAAGGTCATGAGACAAAGAGGCCTATTGATTTTCAGCGATTTCCGATAATTACTGCCAGAGTTATGGCCCTTGATCACTTCAAAAAATCTTGTGGGCGCCCTAGAGGCTAAAGTTATCATCTGATTAACTTCTGATTGATAAACAGAGTTTAAGGTCTTGAGACGAACAAGTATATTGATTTTCAATGAATTT